TGACGATATCCAAAAGTTGCAGCCGAGGCTACAAGGCTAAGTGCGGGATTGCAATACCGAGCACCCCATTGGCTCAACCCACCTTCATTCCTTCCCTCCGCACATGTCAAAGTCACCACATCCGAACACCTTCTATGTGCAATTACTCCCATGTCAACATCATTACGCACAGTAGTACGCGTGCTCGTTCCTTCGACAAATGTCTCGACATGATGCCGCGGTGAGGGTATAGCAACATCAGGGTACTCGCGAAGAACAAAGTACTGTCATGCCTACCAAAAAGGCTGAGCTAGCAAAGTGCGAAGACAATTTGGAATCACCACAGAAGCTTGGGGAGCAGCTTCCTGCAGTTTCTCATATTCAAGCAGTCGCTTAGATTTTCCTCCGAGCGCGTCGGCGTGCCTGAAACCGGGAGAGAATCAGGCCCTTGTATGCCTGCAAACCTCAGTCGTACACTAAACTTATGCGTTTAGGAAGGCATCTCTCCGCATAGATCGCCCCTGCCCCGTCTGCAACATGTTCTCAAACTACACACGTTCGACCCCCATCGTGGATCTTCGCCATGACGACGACTCTACCGGCATGGAGCTTGCGTCGCCTCTTTCTTCCGTAATCGTGAGCTCTGCTTCATGCGTTTGATTCGACCGTTTCCAGCCAAGCCACGAACCCGATCCCATGTCAAACTCGATCTACCGCTGTCATGCGAGACGAGGCTTTCGTGCCTGTAAGAGAATTGTGGGGAGGACCGGCGGCCTTTCTTTAAGCCTGGCCTTTTCAAGGCATCCTCCAACGGCGCATGTATGACATGCACGGCAAGCAACAAATGATCGTCCCAACAATCGCGGCCTTGTCTATTTTGGACAGTGTCTCGGTCAAGCACTCATGGAGCTCACATAAGAAACCATTCTTATATAAACCAGTCTCCTCAGACGGATATCACGGCACGCTCAGCTTCAATCTTCAAACCATTCCTTCGTGCAGAGCACCATCTGTTTATTTCTATTCTCAAGAGCTGTGCTCATTTTAAGTTTCGACACACCTCGTTTCAATCCTTCAAAATCAACCCCATACCATCACAATGAAGACTTCCATCTCCCTCCTCACTCTCCTCTCAGCCTCCTTCGTGGCAGCAGCTCCAGCGCCTTTCGTTGGGCAGGGACCTGTAGTCGCCGCTGGCACCGAGAATGTAGTCATGCCCTCTACAAACTTCGGTCGCCGCGAGGAAGACGTTGTGCAGAAATTTGGCGAGAGAGCCCTCAAGCTCCGCGGTGCGCTCTTGGCAGCACGCGGTGGCATGGGCAAAGATAATGCTAATGCCGACGCCGAAGGTGCCAATGCTGAGGATGCTGCGGCGGCTGGCAACAATGGTGCTCAGGACCAGGCGGCACAGGATGCTGCCGCTGCTGAAGAGGCCGCGCAGGGCAAGGGCAAGGGCAAGGGCAAGAATGCTGATAAGCAAGCCGCTCAAGCGGGTACGTTTTATCACAATTCTCTCCAAAGACTTCACTGATCCTCGATAGCCAAAGAGCAACAAGCCGCTGCCGATGCTCAGGCACAGCAGGATGCTGCCGCCGCCGAGATGATGAACCAGGGCCAGGCGCAGAATGCAACCGAGCAGATGGGAGCAGCAGACCAAGCTGCCGCCGATCAACAGGCTCAACAGGATGCTGCTGCAGGCATGAACAAAGGCCAAGCAGAGAATGCAAACGACCAGCAGGCAGCGGACCAAGCGGCTGCTGACCAGCAGGCCGAGCAGGGCGCCGCCAATGGTATGGACCAAGCCGCGGCTGACCAACAGGTATGTTTTAAACCCCAGATCTCATGTTAGAATGACTTATTGACTCTACCAGGCTGCTCAGGATGCCAAGCAGAACCAGGATGCTATGGATCAAGCCGCAGCCGACCAGCAAGAGGCTGCCATGGGAGCTGATCAGGCTGCCGCGGAGCAAGGCAAAGGAAAGCAGCAACAGAAACAGGATGCCATGGATCAAGCCGCAGCCGATCAGCAGGCCGCTCAACAGCAAGATGGCGCCATGGGAGCCGACCAGAATGCTGCACAGCAAAAGGGAGGCATGGACCAAGCCGCAGCTGATCAGCAAGCTGCAGCCGATGAGCAAGCCGCACAACAGCAGGATGGCGCCATGGGAGCCGCCGACCAGGCTGCCGCCGAGCAAGATAAGGCACAGCAGCAACAGCAGGAGCTCGAGCAAGCCGCTGCCGAGCAGATGGCCGCTCAACAGCAAGCCGACCAGCAGCAGAAGGAGAAGGATCAGGCCCAGATGGCGGCAGACCAGGCACAGATGCAACAAGATGCCGCCAACGGCGCCAAGGGAATGGACCAAGCTGCCGCCGACCAAGCTGCTGCTGACCAAGCCGCTCAAGCTGGAAGTAAGTGACATCCTCTCCATGAACGTTTCATCTACTAACGATCTCAGACGCTACTGGAGTAGTTGACGCTGGAGCTGCCGCCGGAGCTGCTGCCAACGGTACCGAGGCGAACAACGGCAAGGGCAAGGGCAAGGGCAAGGGCAATGGCAAGAACAACGGCAAGGGTAAAGGAAAGGGAGAGGGCAAGGCCAACGGCAAGAACAACGGCAACAACGGCGTTGGACAGCTCCTCCAGGAAGCCGAAGCCGCCCTCCAGGCTGGTGGTCAGCAGGGTCAGCAGCAGGGTGGAGCCGGTGGTATCGAGGGTCTCCTCAGCAGCCTCCTCGGTGGCGGTGCTGGAGGTGCCGGCGCTGGAGCCGCTGCCGGTGCTGGTGCTGGAGCCGGCCAACAGAAGGCTGGTGGCATCGCAGGCCTTGACTTGAGCAGCCTTGGCATCGGACGCCGCTCGAAGAGGACCACCTTCCGTGCCTAGATATGAGAGACGACGGAGAGCTCATCGTTGAACGATGGAGTTCCACAACCTATGTAACCTTATGATTGTCACTGCTTCTAGATGAAGTACACAGCGATTAGATGACTAGTAATGCCAATACAAAATCATCATCGTATCTCTCAAGTGCCTGTGCTCCGCCTCTCGGAATTGATTTACACATACTCCTCTCCCTTCATCCAGCCCAGTTGCTTCCACATATGCAACTTATCCCACTCTTTGATCCATCCCTTGATCTTGCCATCTTCCACCTCGAAGATAGCTGCTGCATGCCACGCTGCCTTGTTCCCACCCGCCTCGATACCATTATGTGCCTCGCCGCAGTGGCTTCCACTAGCACTGTACCTCAGACACACATGTCCACCATTGGCGAAGATGACATCGTAAGAGTCAATGTGTAGATCAGATACAGCGGCCATGACTTTGGAATGCGACTCGGCGTACTCTTGGGGTGAGTTGACGCCAGGGAAGGTGGTTGGGGCGACGAAGTAGGCGTTCTCGTGGCAGAGGTGAGCAACGGTTTGGGCACCTTTGTTCTCCGTGGGCGAGTAGGCGAGGCGCATATATTCTTTTACTACGTCGATGTTCTTCTGTTGGCAGGTGTAAATGATATGGTGACATGTATAGGTACCTTTGAAGAAAACTTACTTGCTCCTCCTCGGTTTGAGTTGTGCTCTGCTTAACGGGTGGGTACTTCGTGTCTGGCATTGCGGCGTTTCTTGGTTTGTTGTGTGATGGGTTGGTCATAGAAGAGAGACTTCGAGTTGCTCATATACCGCGTATGCTTGATGACGGCACGGCTTCATCATGATGTCATTCCTACAAGGTCTGAATGATCACGGGGTTATCACGGTATCGAAGTCGGGGAAAAAGAGAACATGGTGGGAGATGTATGATTCTAGTGGTAAAATACAAGTAGTGTTCTGTTACGTGCTCAGCATGTCAAGCGATGCTTGGTATAGCTGTAGTGCTATGGTGTGCGCTAGATATGCTTGAAACCAAACCAGAGTAGTAACCCACCTGAATGCCGATGATGCTAGGCCTTGATCACTGATGTATACGAGGCTACGCGAAGAAGCCTGTCCTTGGTCTGATACGCGTTGGACGCGTTGTCGCGTGGTCATGTGAGGCCCAAGAGAGTACCTGCATGACGCTACTTGGTATCCGCGTGGTGCGATACGAAGGGATCTGAGCAGACGCTGCATCTTTCCTGGAGGAAACAGAGAAGGCACGTATAATCGTCGAAGCTTCGTCCGTCGGGCTTTGTATGCCTGTCTACAATATCAGCGCGCGTTCTACTACCTGTGAAGGGCTGGCGTACACCGACGAAGCATCACGAGCCCTGGGCAAGAGCCAGGTCGAGTGCATCCATGCAGTCGACAGACATGCGTCCTATAATGGATCAATCGTAGTCCGGACGGCGTCTCAGCCGGTCATACTCTGGTCTCCGTCTGCATCCTCTGCCTGCGCGACAGGCCGACCGAGCTCCGCCAAGGAAGTCTTCAGCCGCGCAATACGCGCCTCGAGATAGTCAATCTCATCTTCCTGGTCCTCGCACGTGCGGTCCATGTCAGGCAAGGCCGTTACTGCGCGTCGTGCCTTTTGTATCTTGAGACGGATGTCATTGGCGGCAGTCGCTACATGTTGGATCTCAAGAGGCCCTTCTGCCGCAAGCTGTGCAGGTGTGGGTGTTGCCGCGGGCGGCTGAGCAGACGCCTCGAGTATACGCTTGAGAAGCTTGTGGAGGTCAGGGAGGATGTCAAACGTTGAGGGCGGAGGGAGAGCTGGGGTGCTCGCGGTCAGGGGTGGGGGCAGCGCTGGCGTCGCAGAGCCCGTGGGTGCAACTGAGGCTCGCGCTGAGGCAGGCGCATAGGGTGTTGCGGCTCCGGACATGGTCGCGACTTCTTGCGGTTCGACGCGCAACGATGTCTAGCGTGATGTTGCAGCTGTGGTCGCGACGACGCGTGGACAGGATGACGCTCCTTTCACGGGTAAGGCTGGCTGCAGGGGTAGTGATTGGATGGCGATTTCGTGGGCGATAATCGCTTTGGGTGTCTGATACGCGTTTCCAGATGTCAAAGCGATCGCCAAATAGCGCAGCTGCTGGTGTCACTCGAGATAAGTTCCGGCCGTGGGTTGTGGGGGGAATGTGGAGCTTTTTCGCGGAAAGATTGTGACGTTGACCGGCGATGCTTTTTTGAAGTCGACTGATTTAGCCCCGCCAACCCTGCCCCTCCGTCAACAAGCCATTCACTGCTCCTTCCTCAACAACCTTTAAACCTCGTTGCTGTCATCACTTCTTGGGCCCCATCGTTCCTTCCCGCTGGATTGACCTCATCAGCCCATAATCATGGCCAAAGTCGACCAGAAGACGGTCCTCATTGTCATCGACGGCTGGGGTGTCGCGACTGAGAAGTCGCGCAAAGATGGCGATGCTATCCTTGCTGCAGACACGCCCACCATGGACGAATTCGCAAAGGAGGGCTCCAAGACTGCCCAGGGTTACACCGAACTCGAGGCCTCTTCTCTCGCAGTCGGCCTGCCCGAAGGCCTGATGGGCAACAGCGAAGTCGGCCACCTGAACATCGGCGCCGGACGCGTTGTATGGCAAGACTCCGTCCGCATCGGACAGACCATTAAGAATGGAAAGTTGAAGGATGTAGACAACATCAAGAAGTCGTTCCAGCGCGCCATCGACGGTAACGGAAGGCTCCACTTCTGCGGTCTGGTTTCCGATGGTGGTGTCCACTCCCACATGGACCATCTCATTGCGCTCCTCAAGGTTGCAAAAGACCAGGGTGTCAAGGAGGCCTACATTCACTTCTTCGGTGACGGCCGAGATACCGACCCCAAGTCCGCGGTCGGATACATGGAGACTTTGCTGAAGGCGACCAAGGAGATTGGCCTGGGCGACATCGCAACAGTGGTCGGACGATACTACATCATGGACCGCGACAAGAGATGGGACCGTGTCGAACTTGGAATGAAGGGTTTGATCACCGGAGAGGGTGAGGAGAGCAGCGACCCCGTCACAACCATCAAGGAGCGATACGCAAAAGACGAGAACGACGAGTTCCTGAAGCCCATCATTGTTGGAGGAAAGGAGCGAAGAATTCAAGGTATAACATTACGCTGAGCACCTACATGTCTTCCTGCTGATTCGTCCAGACAACGACACCGTCTTCTTCTTCAACTACCGTTCCGACCGTGTTCGAGAAATCACTCAGCTGTTGGGTGATGTCGACCGCTCGCCCAAGCCCGACTTCCCGTACCCGCAGAACATCCACCTCACCACCATGACCTCGTACAACCCCAAATACACTTTCAACGTTGCTTTTGAGCCCCAGAGAATGACGGATGTTCTTGCCGAGACTCTAGGAAAGCAGGGCGTCAAGCAGTGTCACGTTGCGGAGACCGAGAAGTATGCTCATGTTACCTTCTTTTTCAACGGTGGTGTCGAGAAGCAGTTCGAGAACGAGGAACGCGAGATGGTTCCTTCGCCCAAGGTAGCCACATACGATCTAGAGCCGAAGATGAGCGCCATGGCCGTTGCAGAGAAATTGTGCGAGCGCATCCAAACAGGCAAATTCGAGTTCCTCATGAACAACTTTGCGCCACCAGACATGGTCGGTCATACGGGTGTCTACAAGGCAGCCATTGAAGCCTGCACAGAGACCGACAAGGCTATCAAGAAGGTGTACGATCAGTGCAAGGAAAGCGGATATGTTATGTTTGTCACTGCCGATCACGGGTAAGTCCATGTATGCCGCACCTTTCGAGACAGAGCTGACAGATTGCAAGTAATGCGGAAGAGATGCTTACAGAGGAGGGCACACCCAAGACCTCCCACACAACCAACAAGGTACCTTTCGTCATGGCCAACGCCCCGGAAGGCTGGAGCCTGAAGAAGACTGACGGCGTGCTTGGTGACGTCGCGCCTACCCTACTTGCGACTATGGGTCTTCAGCAGCCTGAAGATATGGACGGCCATAGCTTGCTTGTCAAGTCATAGGGTGTCATTTGTAATAAAGATGTGAGACGAAAGTTTGAGATGCTTCGTCCCGAGATTCTGCTTCGTTAGATTCATACATATATAGACGATACAGGCTATGATGCATAGAAACATGCATAGAACAATTCCAATAAGCAGCGACACACATAGCCGTTGCGTTTTAGAGATCCTTTTTTCAGCTGTGGATTTATGGATGCTGCGATTAATGCTAGGATGATTGATCCCGGCTGGGCGGCTATGGGCTTGGCAACAGGGGTAAAGTCACTGGCGGGGAATCGTGTGGACCCCTCCTTACGTACTCCAGGGCGCGATAGCCTTCTTCTCGACACTCCCATGGCTTCATAGCTGCGTCTTCTATATTCACACCGTTCGCGACACAGTTCATTGTTCCATCAGCAGACAGACTTGCCCGAATCTTGCACGTTGCCAAAACGATCCCGTCGCGTGCCATCAAGAAGCTCTACGCATCGACCGCCAACGTCGATCAGAAGCCGACAGAGTACTCTCAACTCGTTATTAACTTTCGCTATCACTACGCGATATCTACGCTGTGACACATGTTGTCATAAAGTCACATCACGCTTCCCCGACAACTTCACCTGTCGGTTCCATTGTTTTCGAAACCCAACCTGAGGCATCGGTGCCCGACCACGCCCTCCCAAGGCCCTCGTAATCGCGACTTGCGTACGGCACACCTGCTACAAACACTCTCCATCACGTCAGCTCCCCGAAAAGCGGCTCGAACTCAGCAATGGCAACTAGAACTTCCAACGGTGCGTCTGGAGCGCAGGGCGCGCAGACTGCGGCGCAAGTGCAGCCTTGCAGATACAAGACCGGGAAGACATTGGGCGCAGGCAGCTACTCTGTAGTCAAGGAGTGCGTGCATATCGATACGGGAAGATACTATGCAGCCAAAGTCATCAACAAGCGGCTCATGGCAGGCCGAGAGCACATGGTCAGCTCAGCCTTGAGCAACTGATGGACAGTGAGACTGACAAGTACCAGGTCAGGAACGAAATCGCCGTCCTGAAAAGAGTATCCATGGGCCATAGGAACATCCTGACGCTTGTTGACTACTTCGAGACAATGAATAACCGTACGTGTTGGGCTTGCCTGGGCTGAATCTCCAGCTGACCTTACCGTAGTATATCTCGTTACCGACCTTGCGCTTGGAGGCGAGCTGTTCGACCGCATCTGCCGCAAGGGCAACTACTACGAATCCGATGCTGGCGATCTGATCCGTGCGACTCTTTCTGCTGTCGCATACCTTCACGATCACGGCATCGTACATCGAGACTTGAAACCCGAGAACCTACTGTTCCGAACTCCAGAAGACAATGCTGATTTGTTGATTGCCGACTTCGGACTGTCTCGCATTATGGATGAAGAGCAATTCCATGTCCTGACGACAACCTGCGGAACACCAGGATATATGGCACCTGAAATTTTCAGAAAGACTGGGCATGGAAAACCAGTGTAAGATGTACTGCGCTACTTTGCGATCCGTTGCTGACTATGCCTGTAGTGACATCTGGGCGATTGGAGTTATTACTTACTTTCTCCTTTGCGGTTACACTCCGTTCGACCGCGACTCCAACCTCGAAGAGATGCAGGCCATCTTAGTCGCAGACTACTCCTTCACACCTTTGGAATACTGGAGAGGTGTCTCCCTCACTGCCCGCGAGTTCATCCGCCGATGCTTGACCGTCGACCCCGCCGCGCGCATGACGGCTCATGAAGCGCTCTCGCATCCTTGGATCACGGAACTTGGCAAGAACAACGCTGATGGAGAGGAGGATCTACTGCCTACTGTCAAGAAGAACTTTAACGCGCGCCGCACACTGCACGCAGCTATCGATACGATTCGCGCAATCAACCAGCTGAGAGCAGGTGGCGCCGCTGGCATGATGGACGGCCAGCGATCCGCTGAACCCCGGAGAGGAGCCCCTCATGCCAATATTCCTCAACCAGCGGAGGAGCCTGATGACCCCATGGAGATTGACAGCAGAGGAAACGGCCACGGCCAGACTGAAGAGATGATACAGGAGCAAGAGCGGAGGATTAGGGAGACTCAGCAAGGCCTATGGGGTAAGCGATGATGAGCGTCATCTACAATCTCAACGTCAATTCCTTTCTCAGCACACGTTTTAGAGTGAAAGCCTTTGCCTGTCAGCGGAATTTCTTTTTGATCACATTTCATGTCTACATTAGCGAAGGCTGGCATCGAAGCCCTTCTCCCTGCGAATTGGGTTTGAGCAACTCATTACAAACAATGGTACCAATTCAACAGCACGCAAACTCTCCAACAACGTAGTCTATAGACATACAGCATGCATTCGCGTCCGAACTCTCGATCACCCAAACCATGATTCATCACGCCCTTCTTTTGAACAAGCCTTCGGCTGACAGAGGGAGAATATCTAGATGTTATATACTAAACCTACGTTAGCTCTAACCTTATCCCTACACAACAACTCCCAGCCTCGATCCCAGCCGTCCAGCCCCTCACCCCACTTCAACTTTAGCATTTCCAAGTCTCTGGCCCGTGTCCAGAATGCCTCAAAGGCGGCATACAGATCCTTGAAGTATCGCTGTCCAGCCACATCAATGCCCTTTTCTTGCAACAAACTTGCATTGACTATGTTCAACGAAGCTCTGTCGGCGAGGCGTTGCGCTGCTTTTCCTGGGTCTTGAGGCGCGACTTCACCGCCGACCGTCACCAGTGTGAAAGGAATATCGGGCGTTAATGACGATAGCGCAGACCTCCAATTTGCGTTTGCTCCGGGGCGAGCGCCGAAGTCGAAGAGTAGAGTACGTTTTGTACCGGAATCCTTGACCTGTTTGAGCGTGCTGTCGAAGTCGTCGTAGACAACAACGTTGTCGTACCACCCTGTTTTCTTCATCGCGTCGATAGAGGCTTTCGAACCAACTCCGATGATACGATCAGGTTGACAACCAACGGATCGACAGTGTCGGAGCGCATACGCAAAGCAAGAAGCTGTTTTCCCACTCGCATTCAACAAGACGACCGTAGCACCTCCCAGATCAGCGTCCTCAGCGCTCCACTCCCCGTTTCCGGTGGGATTTATTCTCCTCTTTTGAATGTCCTCTTCCTCTCCCTGCCAAGGAAACACATAGCAGCAAAGATTGTGGCCAACAGTAAACGGGCCCATCATCAACGCTACCCAGCCCAGCTCATCCTTCCCCTCAATCTTGCCAGCGAGTTGTGGAAGTGGACCGCAAACACGATACCGGTTATACAGCTTCCACAAATGCTGTCTATGCCCATCAACTACGACAATTTGATCCTGAATCGCCCTCCCGTCTCGTACATCTTTAGCTCTTTCCACGGTCACATCTTCCCACTCGGTACTGCTCGGTAGATACCCATATACGCTCATTCCTTTCTCGATGCCTTCGACAGTGCTTTCTAGGATCTCGGCGTAACCCCATGCAGCGACGCGGCCGTATTTGGTAGGGTCGTTGCAGGGAGGGGGTGTCGTAGAAGGAAGCGGATATGTGTCGTACCAGCCCATTAGGTGGCCGATACGTGCGTAGGAGAGGTTATTTGTTGTTAGGCCGAGGATTTTGGTACAGAGGCGGAGAGAGGAGGGAGGTAGTGAAGTAATGGGTTTGAGATTGATGGAGACAAGGTGGTGGGTCGTGTAGTTTGTGAGGGAGAGGATATGTGTGGCTGGTTGGGTGGATGATGTTGATGAAGACATGGTTTCGGTGGGTTTTATGGCGAACTAACCAAGATTACAGCAGTCTTCTTGGGCACTGGTAAATGGGTTGCGGAGAGCGCTGCCGGTGTAGGCATGGAAGCATATGTGCAACATCTTCAGCATCATATATCACTAAAACATTGCTTATCGGAGGGACTGCCCAATTCCCTGTGACTCACAGTGCCATGCACCTAGGAAACCTCTTACGGGCGTAACTGTCGATTGCAAAAGAGATATCGAAGATGTCTAACCAATTGATGAATCTCTAGGCTTACGGCCAAGGATATTGCGGGGCTCAAAAGGGCGTTCTGCTCTAACCAATCCGGGTTGGCAGTAGTATATTTGTTTACAAGCCACTACTCCTTGCGCCTTTCTCTGATCCTTCTATGCGAAATTGTTATCCGTGTGCGTTTCCACCGTGCCATTTTCCCGTCTTTCATCCTTCTCATCTCCGTCAACGACTTTGCCGCCCGCTTTCCGTCTACTTTCGACTAAGGCCTTAATCAGCGCAACTGTAGCCTCCCATCCTTCTCTTAGCTTGTCTGCACTATCGCTTAGATCGGGTACGTGGAGGAACACGACAGGCCTCTCGTCCTCCTTGATGCTGAAGTAGTGCGCTAAGCTATTATAGTAGATGAAGCCGCACAAGAAGTTCCCAGCATCATTGCTAATCCGCACGTCGGGACATCCCTCGTCGACCGTAGTGCCATCGACAGATGTGTAACCTAGATTGGCCTTCCAGTGCGCGAGGACTTCGGATGTACCAAAACTAGTGTTCAGCTTGGGCGGATACTTTGAAGATGGGAAGTGCTTTTCCATTTCGGAATCTTCGAATCGTTGGCCGTCTACGTCGGGAATCTTTCCATATCCACGACCTTGGGACCCTTGCTCGATGGCGAAGTATTGCCGTCCAGCTGCTAGGCCGATGTGCAGCACAACATCTGGAGGAGGATAGAGAGGGTTGGCCGGTGGAAGGAGCTTGGGGACGAGGTCGATGACATTATTGTATGCCACTCGTATAGGCTCGTAGTGAACGCGGATGTTTATCGGGGTGTGGTTCATGGGTGACTTTGGTATCAGAGCCGGAAGTGTAGACGCAATCTCCCAAGAAGAGTTCTTGGGGAACTTCTCTAGAAAGGGCTAAGTTTATGTTAGTCAATTCTTTAAACGCATGCAATCGTCTGACTGGAAATATGTGGATGCGGCAATTTAAGGCATGCTCTGAAACACTCAATACGAAGGAGTTGACCCGGGTCTTACTTAGACGTGATTGTAAGACCTTGAGTTAAAAATCAGCACAGGGAAGAGATTCAAACTTACGCCAAACCCTGTAACCAAGACTGTGACCGGCTTCTCCCCCTCTTCACTCGGAGGCTGTGGAGCAGCGTAGGATGTTGGCGGCATCGATGATCGGACTTAGCGGGTATTAGAGGGACCAAACACGATAAACATGCAGGACTGAGGATAAACTACTACGACATTAGTACCTGCAACGGGAGTTTTTGTGTCAGTGGGTCGAGAAGGGTATTGCGTGTAATGATGATGATGTACAGAGGAGCGACCTGATGACGGCATAGAGGCTAGGACGAGGGTCACGTTGACGCCTACCTAGGTAGGTACTTCACACGCAGGCGAACAGCAAACTTACAATTATCGGAATTTTCAGATGAGTTAGGGATGCACGACCATTGCAGATCGCGCTTTCAGAAGGCATCGTAGCCAGGTCATGTTCGGCACTCGGTTAGGTCGATTCGGCATCTTGGTCTTCCAAACGGTCTAGCGCCTGCCAGAATCCCTGGGGCATTCGCGCAATGCTTCAACCGCCGACTTTGTTCCCGAATGCTTACCCCACATGTTTACCTTCCAGACCCCACATAGCAGCGCGTTGCCTGTTGCCGCCTGACGCTTGCTCTCTCGGATGGGGTGTTCTGCAACGCGCTCGGTATCGGGTAGTGCACTTGTTAACATGACGCTCATGCCGTCGCGTGTTGGCATGTGGATAATTTGTTATTTGGGTACTGCAGGGCTATTGCATAAGTCCGCAGTCAATGACGTCGAGTGAGCTGTCGTCTCGCACTGTCGGTGCGACTTTCGGATCAGAACCAAAGTAAGTGCGCATAGCGAGGGTTGGCAAGCGTCGAGTTCTCTTCCTGTTACACGATGCAGTTGTGTCGTTGACATCAAGCTAACATCACACTGAAAGACAGTTACCTCAACCACACGCCCATACGCTCGGCACATCACAATGGTTTTCACAGGCTCATCTTCGAAGTCCTATTCGCTCGCCGTAGTAGGCGGTGGGATATCCGGTCTCTGCCTCGCAATAGGTCTCCTCCAGTACGATATCCCGCTCACGATTTACGAAGCGGCACCACACTTTGGCGAAATTGGTGCTGGGGTCGCATTTGGACCTAATGCCGGGCGTGCGATGGAGCTTCTGTCTCCCAAAATATACCAGGCTTTCTTGAAATGCAAGACAGGCAATGCGGACAACTCCAAGTCCGACTCGTGGTTTACGATACGGGTGGGTGATGCTAGGAAAGAGAACAAGGAAGGATATGTGAGGGATGGCAAGAAGGTCGGTGATGCTTTGTTCGATGTGCCTATGCACTCGGGTGGAGGGCGTGGCGGCGTGTACAGAGCTCACTTTCTTGACGAGCTCGTAAAAGAGATACCTGACGGTGTGGCCAAATTCGATAAGAGACTTGTAGAGCTGGGCGAGGCTCAAGATGGCTCTGGAGATGTGGTGCTTACGTTCGCTGATGGTTCGACCGCACAACACAGCGCTGTAATTGGATGCGATGGCATCAAGTCTTTAACGCGAAAGTGGTTAGTTGGGAGAGATAATCCTGCTTCCAAGGCTGTATTCTCTGGAAAGTACGCCTATCGAGGGCTAATACCTATGGATCAGGCTGTGGAGATACTGGGTGATGATGCAGCGCGGAACAGCCAGATGTATCTTGGATACCATGGCCACTTGCTCACCTTTCCAATTGCGCATGGAAAAACGATGAACGGTAAGGCTGGTCATCATCTAAAATGCTGTCTTGCTAACAATCACAGTGGTTGCATTTAGCTCTCGCGAAACCTGGGAAGACGAGAAGTGGGTTGTTGCCACATCGAAACAGGAAATGGAAGACGACTTCCAAGGTTGGGGCCCACATGTCACGAAGATTGTCAAGGCAATGCAAAAGCCAGACATCTGGGCATTGTTCGAGCATCCACCCTGCGACACATACACCAAGGGACGCGTTTGCTTGCTTGGAGATGCAGCACACGCGACCACACCTCATCAAGGGGCTGGTGCCGGCCAATGTATAGAAGATTCTTATATCCTCGCTAACCTGGTCAAGGAAGCGAACGACGTCAATGATTTGCAGCGAGCATTCACCGCCTTCGACCAAGTCAGACGAGAGAGGACGCAGAAGATCGTGAAAACAAGCCACGAAGCTGGTCAAATGTATAATTTCGAACTGTTTGGAGACGACCTTGATAAGATTGAAGAAAGCTACAAGCACAGAATGCGATGGATCTGGGACATTGATCTGAAGGCGCAATTAGAGCAGGCGCAGCAGATTATGAAACAGTGAAATTGAGACATGACTCCAGGATATACTTTAATCGACAAGTCTGAATTCTCAACGAAGTCTCGTGCCTAATCAATGACATCATCTCTCAGAGTAAAGATCTGCTTCAATACCTCGTCCGTCTTGGCGCCAATCCCGTTGTGGTACATTGTATTCGTGATAAAAGTCTTGCAACCCTTGATGGTATTCGCAGTCTCCATACTCAGGTCGAGGTCAACATACATGTCGTCCATGTAGACTGCAGCATAAGTCGGTACGTCGTTCTTCCTCAATTGCTCCTTGTTGTACAGTTGCGGCCAATCTTTCTCTTCCGCTAGGAGGTTACCAACAGTCTTGAGCTTGGCGAGCTCTGGGTAAACATCGAACATGAAAGGGTAGATCATCTCGCCTGTGAAGTAGATCGGCTCATCTCCGTCCACGCGCGAGAGTGAGAACTCAGGATATTTTGGGAGTAGGCGCTCCGCAGACCAATTCGAGGCCTGACCTTGACAGTAGATGGGTTCATGTAGGAGAGCATAGATGACATTTGAGTCCCAGCTCTGCGCTGCCTCTAATGCGAGCACAGTAGGTCGTGTAAGATGTCCAAATTGAGTCAGATCGGTATCGGCGCGAAGCACAAATTCGTGGACGTCATCGAAGCCTCCATGCTTGCCGAAGTATATTCCCAGTTGTAGGAAGCGACGTGCAGAGAGATAACCTTCGCCGCCTTGGACGCGAACCGTGGTATCTCCGAAGCGTGAGAGAAGCTTGATGATGCGTTTGACGCGGTCGACATCTTCAGGATACTTTGCGTAGTATCCCTCGTTCCTGCTCTTGACACGGGCGTAAAGTCGCTCGTAAACTTCATCAGGCCCGTCTCTGAGGGGTGGCAAGCCGCCGAAAAGGAACGCCTCTTTGACTCCTTCGGGGAAGAAAGACAAATAGGTCAAGCAGCAGAAGCCGCCGAAGCTCTGACCCATGATACTCCATTTCTTCTTCTCCTCAGGATGGTCTTCTGTTAGGGCTTTCCTCACGGCCTCACAGTCTTTGACAATACTGTCAGCCCTGAAGCTCTTCATGTACTCTGCTTGCACCTTCTCATCGCCTCTCAGCTGTAGACTTGACTGGCTAATGGCAGTTGAGAGACCGGTTCCACGTTGATCTAGCATGAGCACTTGGTAGCCTTTGTCGAGAATAGTCTGAGTCCAGGATACCTTCTCGGGACTACGACATTCGAAGCCTGGGCCACCTTGTAGGTAGACCAGCCATGGGAGCTGAGTCTTCGCGGGATCGAGGTGCGATGTGGGTGTGTAGTCTGCAGGCTTCTCGGCTTTCAGAGCCGAGCGAGCGAAGAGTTGGATCGTTCCTGCTGAAGGATTCGCTTCGAGATGGAGTTGTCAGCACAATCTTTTGTTATCATTCAGTGATCATATCAGTTGCCGTGTTCACAGCCGTAATTTCCAGGCTCATCTACTGTCTGACATTGAGAGGACTGCATACAGTAATCCCTAGGTACCTGGAAGAAGTGTTCCGTTATCCGGAGCTTGCCTGTCTGCAGTTAGCGATGAGGCGTTGTAGACAATACAGAGTCAACATCATTACCAGGCACCAAGTGGCTTCTCTGCTCGAGGATCTTTGCTGCTTGTATCATATTTGTAGTTGATTAAGTGTCGGGTGCAATGTGGGGACTGAATGTATGTGGTGTTATCGATAAGCCCCAACTCCGTAACGCCTGCTCCGAAGGATTGGCGATATTGAACGCGCTGCACGCGACCATTTGCACCTGTAAATTTGCGCTTAACCATTACGATAACTACGATTCACACACTCTAGCCTTGATCGATACGTTATTTCCATCACAGGAAGCAAGGTGGTGTACCATCAACGTCGGCCCTGGGAAAATTTCCAACTGAGGGGCAAACGCGGAGAACTTTCCATCGCAGACCGAATAGTTACCACACTGCGTTCCACGACTGCGTTATCTCGTTTTCTAAACTGAAACATGGCTAAAGATAAGAAGAAGGCAGCAGCGGGAGGCAAAGCAGCAGCCAAGGCCGCAAAGGCTGCTAAGCAAGAGAAGAAGGCAGGCAAAAAAGACAAAAAGGTCGCATCCAAAACACAGGAAATCGACTCTGATGCGGAAGATGTTGACCTGGATGATATCTTGGCACAGTACGCAAAAGAGCAGGAACAACACCATGCTATCACAGAGATACCCGCTGAGCCACCCTCTGCGCGAACTTCGAGCACGCTCCTCGCCAATCCAGCAAACGAGAATGAAATCTTCTTGTTCGGAGGCGAATACTTCAACGGAGCCACCGCCAAGTTTTTCAACGATCTCATGATTTACAATGTCAAGCAAGATTCCTGGAAGCAAGTCACAAGTCCGAACTCACCACTTCCTCGATCTGGACATGCTTGGTGTCGCGCTGCCAACACGAAAGAAATTTACCTGTTTGGTGGAGAGTTCAGCTCTCCGAAACAAGGAACCTTCTATCACTACAACGACTTCTGGAAGCTCGATCCGGTCTCTCGAGAATGGACGCGCATGGAGGGAAAGAGCAAGACCGCTGCCCCACCAGCACGGAGTGGACATCGCATGGTTGGCTTCAAGCAGTACATTATCTTATTTGGAGGTTTCCAGGATACATCTGCGACCACCAAATACTTGAATGATCTTTGGATCTACGACTGCGTCAACTTCTCATGGCACACGCCAAAACTGCAAGCAGCTCGCGCAGTACCAGATGCACGATCGAGTTTCAGTTTGCTGCCGCATGAGCAAGGCGCGGTCATCTATGGCGGTTACTCTCGCGTCAAGACCCAAGCTGGTGGCAAGCAACAGCAGCAGGGCAAGGGCAAGAAGAGCAGCAGTGGCGGTCCGGCATCACGCATGGTGCTCAAGCCGAAGGTCCACGACGACACTTGGTTCATACGTGTTACACCACCCCCTGCTGATCAACCTTCCACTACCCTTCCAACTGTGTCTTGGGAGAAGCGCAAGAAGCCGGCGAATGCACCAAACCCGCCGCGTGCAGGTGCGACAATGGCTTACCACAAAGGCCGCGGTGTTCTTTTCGGCGGTGTGCACGACGTGGAAGAGAGCGAAGAGGGCATCGACTCCGAGTTCTTCAACCAGTTGTTCATCTGGAACGTCGAGCGTAACCGATACATGCCAC